GGAGACAGCTATAGGTTGCATTCAGGGCAAGGAAGAAGTACATTTGGGTTAGGTAGCCTTCCAGGGATATGGAGTAGCCATGGGCCAACAAGTTGGCCAACATCTTGGGCAAGTGACAGAGGTAAAGCAGAGGTTACCAAGGACAGATGGGCCAGCAGGAAGTACACGGGTACTTGAAGGGCTGTACTAACCTGAACAATGAGAATATTATCCAGGATGCCCACCACATACATTACCAAGAATAGCACAAAGAGAGACCACAGCTGACCTGGACTTGTCAGTCCCAATACGAAGAATGAGGCTCCCTCTGCAGAGTCGTTGGCAGTATACATGTCAGGGTGGCTATTTGCCTAGAACTTTAGGGGCTCCTTTTATGGCTGGGTCCTCTCTCCAGTGTCTAAGCAAAAAGATGAAAGATTGCATTGCTCAAGGCTTCCTGGACAGGAGAAAATCACTGGAGTCAGGTAGTCCCGATTCTATGCACAGATGTGAGGGTGGGCATGTCATTTTCCCTCCAGGAGCATTTTCCCTTTCTGAGTTTTAGAGTCTGTCTTGGTTACTTTTCTCTCATGGCTGAGACAAAATACCTGATGCCCAGAATTAAGGAACGAAAGGTTTATTTAGCTTACAGTTTGTGGAAGTTTCAGTATATAATCAGCTGGCTCCAAGGCAGAGTGGCACATGGCAGAGGGCAACAGTTCATGGTGGCAGAAAACAGCAAAGAAACAAAAGCAGAAAGGAAGGAGAGGCAGCAGTGGGAACAGCAAGGCTCTTTCCCTCCCTTACATTGTATGCAAACTGCCTGCCCAAGGGTGAGTGTAGCTCTCACACCCATAATCCCAGCATTGGACCACGGATCAATCATAAACTCTAGAAGCCTGCCCCATGACTGTGTGAGGCTTTGGGGGGACATCTGACACAAACCATAACAGTGTTCCAATCTGTAAAAAAGGGGAGGTAAACTAGATGATCCTGAAGACTAATTATAATTTTGTTATTTGTAATTTTCAGCAAACATGTAACAAAATATATATCACATAGAATGTAGACCAGGGGAAAAGGAAAGTATTTT